GTATCGTTTGGGCATTCAGATATGGATGTTCTAGTCAATGTGTCAGTCCCGTACAAAATTGCAGAAGATAGCTTTTGAGATGGTAGGGTCATGATACTGGACAACGAAAACTCAGGTTTCTCACCCTTCTATGTTCACAGAGATTTTTACATTCATACTCTCCAAAATCGATTTGAATAGTCCTCGCTTCACTTGCTCACAAGTCACAATATCTCTCGAATCACATAACTCCAATTTGGAAGGTTGTCTATAAGGATTCATGAAAAACGCTCCTATGATACTTCGAGTACAATTAAGAAGTTGGAGCACATATTTTACCAAGTTTAGAGGTTCTACTAATAGAAATGAGACAAAAAAAGTGCGAGCCAGTGAAACGTCACGCATGGCATTCAAAATCCTCCCTAGTTTGCAAAAGTCCTGCCCATGTTTTTGATTTAACTCGTCATTATTGTTATATTAAATGACAAATGCAGAAATCCTGTTGAAGAGGGTGGAAAGATAAACAAAAACATGTACGAGCATTTTAATAAATCAAAGTGGTACTATTAGACATTAGTTAACCTCAAAAATGATAATCTTCAATTCAATTTAGGGAGGAGGTTACTCAACACACTGCTCCCCCATATCACACTAATACAGATTGGCGCTTTCTGTTGAAGTTACGGTAGGATCACGGTAGGAAGTCGAAATCACGGATTTGCTAGAAACTTCGTCTAGAAGGGTTTTTCTTTGGCATGCTCGAACATGAAAATGATATTGATTTCGCACGGTACAGCCATTTTTCGGGTTATGGTGGTGTGCATAAAGGGATCAACGTCTTGATTTGCTCAAACTTTGCCTAGAAGGGCTTATGATGGTACGAATTCCATGCTCGTTCGCTGCAACAATTCTTTAGTGTGGCGCTATAATGAGTCACAGTGCATGATAATCACCTTTTGCACTTTTCATGGCAAGTTAGGTCTCAAAAATCGACGAAAACGCTTATCATGCGAAATGACATGATATGCATGATCAGAACTAAGGTGTCTTCCCAGACAAAGTTTAAAGCAAACCTACGATTGTCCGGTATACATATCGACTCCGTGAACAATTCTCAAAACGCAAAATGAGTATGATATTCGCAATTGGAGGCATGCCTGGAAACCCCGTAGAAAGTTTTGAGCAGATTTAGTCTTTTGACCCATTTATCGTATGCCCACCGTAACAGGAGAAAAAGGGGAACGGAACTTACATACACAATAAGGTTGCCGCCGCCTAGTTAACGGAGTTCATGAGGGTTCATGAACTGGCAGCAACACTAATTGCACTCAGTTTGCACCAAAGATGAGCTGACTCTGCTCACGGTAACTCCGTCATCATCCTGCAGCCTATGAAACCGGAATTTCTTTGAAATTTGAATTCAAAGTTCAGTAGTAAAATCAGTCCAATTAGGGCAAAAACTTGTATTTAGGGGTATGCTAACACGCTGATTCCGATTATGTTGATCGTTTTGCTTGAAACCTAGAATTTTTTTCTTTTTGAATTAAAACATTCACAAATAAAAATTTCAAAAATTCTATGTAGGGGTTTTCTGACATGCTGTTTCCTAAAAAGCTAGTGGTTTCGCTCAGAACTTTGAATATTTTTTCCTTCAAAATTTTGTTTATTTTCCACAAATTCTCTGTAATTTGCCAAATGCAAATTTCACAATTAGGGTTTTTTGACATGCTGTTTCCAAAAGTTTCCATTTTATTTTCTTAAACATGGCAGATTTTTCCGTTTGTTTTCCAGGTTTATCAAATTTGCAGTGAAATTTCCGAAAAAGAGTTTAAAAATAGAAAAATTTTGAGGATTCAAGCAAAACCATCAGCTTTTTGGGAAACAGCATGTCAGAAAACCCTTACATAGAATTTTTGAAACTCTTATTTGTGAAAACAAGTTTCAATTCAAAAAAGAAAAATATCCTAGGTTTCAAGCAAAACGATTACCATATTCGGAATCAGCGTGTTAGAATACCCCTAAACATTAGTTTTTGCCCTAATTGGACTGATTTTACTAATGAACTTTTGATTCAAATTTCAAAGACATTCCGGTATCATAGGCTGCAGGATGATGACGGAGTTACCGTGAGCAGAACCAGCTCATCTTCGGTGCAAATTGAGTGCAAATTAGCGTTGCTGTCAGTTCATGACCTCTCATGAACTCCGTTAACTAGGCGGCGGCAACCTTATTGTGTATGTAAGTTCCCTCACCCGGAGAAAAATGATACTACCATGCGGAATGGATATGATATTCGTCATCAGCATTCCAAACACCCATAGACGATATTCTAGCAAGATGCCTAATTTCATTTCTTTATCCACTGAAGTGAGTAACGCCGTTGAATTAGAGGACATGAACAGAATGATCTTCAACAAATGATCGCACCACTCAAACAATATAGTAACAGCTCTGCGTAAGATATGACATTGATGGAATATGTTGATTAAGTACAGAGCATAGGATAAAGCAAATGCCTGCACATAGCACGGACAGATAAGTACTGCGAAGATTTGCTAGGAGTTGAGTCTGCCGCTTGTTTGATTTGAACACATGTTAGAAGCTTTGAAACACTGCTTGAGGGAAAAGTGATTGAAATTCATATAAAAATCGATGCATTGCAGAGGAGCACCAGATTGTTTCGGTAGACAAGGACGAAGATACGAGAAGTGCAATGCCAGATCGATCGGCCAGTTATGCTCCGTGTGAAACGTGCACTTTGCAAGGTTGGTCTCTGCAAAAATGATGTGGGTCGATAATCGAGGAAAACAAGTCCCCTCGTTAATTCTTTCTGCAAGAAAAAGCAACAAAGATAATTTACGCGGGAGGGTTTATGTTTCTGCAAAGGAAGCTGGTGAGTCAGCCGTCTAGTTGTACTGGAACTAAAAAAGCCTGGGCCTTTACCATTTCACAATCGCCCATCCGTTGATTGTAAGAAAAAATGAACACGTGTAGAGCATAGTCGAACTTTTTTGATCATCCTCTACACAACATGCAGTTGTATGACCTGCAATTACCATTTACTCCTACCTTTGCTTTTGCACTCAGACAATCGCTAATGACTTCCGAGGCAAACTAGACTCTTCTAAAATTCCCGGGGCGGAAGCTCCTGTTGGGCTCTGTGGGTTTCCCCCCCACCTGTCCTCGCCCTACCTGGCATAGGAGTGTCCCCCCGGAAGTTCTAGAACTTCAGTTTGCCCCGGAATTCATTTGCGATTGTCTGAGCAGTGACGAGTCAGTATCGGATCTGAGTCATCAATCCCCTCCCCCCTCCCCCTCCCCTCCCCCCCCTCCCAGTCAGTTAAATATCACCAGAAAAATGATGAGGGCACTTCCAGCACTTGCACTTCTCTGCCAAAGGCAAAATGCAAGGCAATGGGTGCAGCTGCAAACAAGTAGGATTTATAAAATCTGACGTCTGACAAGGAATGCACCTGATATGATTGGTTATAACAACTAGCACCTACAACTAGTATTTAACTTTTGCACGACTTGATATACCTCGTTGCGTGTTTCCCATACTCATTTTTTTCTGAATTTCTGAAAAACATCGTTTGAGCGATTTATTTAATCATTAGGGTACCAGATCGACTCACCCTGACATACCCCTTGCAATTCCGTTGCTCCCAAGCAAGCTTATGACTGTTAAAAATAAAAAACCCAAAAATTTTATTGAGGGCGCCCACTCTAGCAAAGCATTACTTTTTTCAGAAAAGCAAGCGAAAATCTGATACAAAATTCTGTCAGGGTTCGAAACAAGCCAAAAGTGATTCATTCCAAGAAATTTCCAAAATAATCTATCACATTGCAAAGTCGCTAGTAAATCGAATGTGCCGAACTTTCGAAGCTCTTTCTAATTGTAAGTATATTTATCCCAACATGAAGATCCCTTTGATCGCTCACCGGTACAAAATAGAGGATAACTATTCTGATCTATGCAAAATATTGTCACTACGGCTATTCGGAAAGCTGTAATCTGTAAGCTTGGAAGCAGTACTGATTCGGGAAGTGATAATTTGCAGAAAGGAAATTGAGCGCCTTCAAATACTACTAGTAAACGAGCTAGCATATAACTATTCATTTAACTAATCATAACTTCCAACTATAACTAATCACTCAAATATTCGATTTGAAGCAGTTAAGGGTAGATATTACCTTTTATGGGACGCCTGAGGTGTGGTAGTAATATCCAACTTTCCAGGATTCAAACATTGGCTTATCTGCTAAGATCCCGGGTTCTCTTTGAAAAAAAAACACGTCTTAATGAAAATTGTTCAATGAAAAGTGCTGAAATTTCTCAATGCAAATTTTGTAAATTCTGTAACATTTGTGAAATTTGATTTTGCAGAAAGGAACACCAAAACTGTAAAAAGAAACGCCTGATTTCTGAATTCATTTAAAAGTCTCAGATAATATAACATCTTTTTGAACGCAACGATTTCTTGTTATTGCAAACAAACTAGCACATAAACAGTTCTTACGATTTTATCTTTAACCTTGAGCTCACTATACCTAAACTAGCGAACATAGTGGCTAGTTTTGATGTGTTCAATCGTTACTCAGCTTCTACTGGTAAGTCTCTTGCATATTAAGACACACGAAGCTGTAATTACGATCAAGTACAATATAATACGATTTGTTTCTTAGTCAGAAGCGCCGTCACAATTATAAATCAATTTGTGTTTGCTTCTGACATGAAAAACTGAATTGTGATTGTTCTTCAGGTCTCACTATGTCCGCTGCAGATCCATGCCCATGGTGAGACTTTTTCGCTTACTTCTTGTTAGCTATGCTTTTTTAATTCCTTGTGAAAGCGTCTTCTTCATCGGTAGATGTAAATTAAAAGTTAAATTTTTTCTTGTTTTTCTACCTACTTTGCATAGTATTTATACAAAGTCATCCCTACTGCTTGATGTCTTCGTCAATTTTCTAACTGCTTAAAAATTATCTTGAATATTCATAATAATCTGCATTTACTAGGGATGATAGCAAGATGTGCCGATGTCCGCGTGAGATGTCCAGCCGGTCGTCATTGTGAAGATACCCCGACAGGAATCACCTGCGCTCCTGATCCAGGTTAACCATCAATGTTTTACATGGACTGACCTTCTTTGGAAGCTTCAGCAGCATTCCCATTTGTTCCCATATAATAAATACCCCCTTTCAGTTTGCCCTCCTAATGAGGTATTCAACATCTGCGCCTCTGATTGTGAGCCAAATTGTGTTCCTCTGGGAAGAGTAAGTGATTGCACATACCAATGGCGTATCCAGGATTTCCGTCCGGAGAGGGGGGGGGGAGGGGGGAAGGTGTAACAAATTTTTTTTCTGGTGATACTCCGAAAATTTTTTTGGTATGCCTTCAAAATTTTTACGGGTCCCTAACCCCGAAATTTTAGTAAAAGGGGGCGTGGCGCCAGCCACGCTTCCGAAAAAAATTTTTTCATGAGGCTAAATTGAATTTCTAAAAAATTTAAAAAGTTATTTCAATTATTCACAAGTATAAACAAGTCGCATTGCACATTTTTGCACATTTTTATTACTAATGTAAATAACTTTCAAAAATTTTGTGACCCATTCTCGGGCGGCCCCCCCCCCGGTACGCCACTGCCATTTCTAAACCTGTCTATTACTGACATTACTTTTGAAGATGGAATTCAGAAGGAGAACAATCTGATTTTATTTTTTGATGGTATCAGACATTCATGTGAAAATTTCTAGCTTACATTAGAAATTATTGAATTCGCAAGATTATTTTTACCGCAGCCCTGCACAAACAATTGCCTTCCGCCTCGATGTCAGTGTCAGGAAGGTTTTGTTCGTCAAGGTGATGTATGCTTAAGGCCGGAGGAGTGCCCTCAACGGCAAGGAATGGCGACTAGCACAAGAAGCTACGGTAGCCCCTATCGTCTTGGTAATGTCCCATTGGGTTCACATCCATTTAGTTGACGAACCTTTTACTCCAACCCCTTCCGGTTGCGATCTGTTTTTGGTACGAATCTTGTGCATACCTGGATATCACTGTGAAGTGATTGGTGGCGCACCAACATGCGTACCTGACCGGTGTAAGTTTATCATTTACCACGATCTTTCTTCTAGAACTTTTCCTCTTTGCCCTTCACCCATCTTTTCATCACTTCTAAAAAAACTTCCCAGCTATCTCCAGTCCTCTTATGAGATCGGTTTTAGCACCACCGTCAGAGCAATTAGCGTGTGCAAGACTGAATTGTCCTGCCAATCAGCACTGCGAGTTTTATGAAGGTGGAGTTGTGGAGTGCGCCCCGAACCCAGGTATTTATTGGCTTCGCAACCAATAGAAAAAGTTTCTACTAACACTTTCAGGACCTTGTGCGGGAGTTTCCTGCGTTAATAGTACCTGCGTTGAATACGGCAACACAATTGGATGCTTCAATACAAGTAATGATTTTTTTAAATAGTTAGTAGAACTTAATGGAAATCAATGGGAAGACCAAAATATTAGATCATTTCAAAAGTTCGTATTGTTCTCTAAAAAATCGTAACTCTTTGCTATCTGCCTAGATTTGCCTGGGATAAATTTTCCTAGGATGAAAAGATCATCTAGTTTCTAATTGTGACTTAAATTTGTTCTACCAAGCACAAGTCGCAGAGTTAAAAATGCAAAAAGAAGACCTCTCAAATTTTGGTAATTTCAAAAAAAAGCTCACCAAAAATCTTGAAATGTTATAAAAAATACCGGAACAAACACAAACATATGTTTTATGTTCTCGTCTTTCTAGCTAGGCAGATTCCTTGTTGAACGACTGTTCCTATGAAAAGTAATGATTTTTTTGGAATTTGCTATACGTTTCCGTAAATCAATGCCCTCCCTTAGCACAAAAATCTCTTAGCTAGAAAGAGAAGTTCACAAAACCGGTGTTCTTGGCTTTCCCGTCTTTTTTGTGACGTTTTTGGGGCTTTTTTGGGCATGCTCAAAAATTAAACTGAAGTAAATCTCTTTATTTGCTCATAACTTCCGATCCTTTTCGTTTTAATTCGTGGGAGAGACACTATAGTAAAGAGCATAATTTTCTCTATCAAATAATAGCACTTTCAGAATTTTTCGTGATCCAGCTCAAAAAATGCCAATCTTGAGTAAATTTATTCTATTGCTTTTAACTCTCGAACTTTCTCATGTCACTTCATAGCAAAGACACTGTTAGAAAAAGTTTTCCTCTTTCAAACAAAAATTGATGCGAGAAAATCCACTAAGAAGGAAGGAAGTTATGATTTTTTGAAAAACTGGCGAAGGAACTTTTGAAATGACCTAATATAATAGTAATCGCTGAGCCGTCATCAAGAAAATACGAACTGGAAGTTGAATGGCATAGTATTTAACCGCCTATATTCAAAACGAGTTTTGAATACAACTGAGCTTTAGTTCGGGTGGGAAAGACGGCCTGCAACGTATTAATCTTGACGAAATTGTCGGGACTCCGATTTTTGAAAAAAAATCCTACAAGGATTCGAAAAGCAATTGATTGTTCAACATTGATTTCATTTGAAGGGTATTCATTCAATCGCCGCGACGGAAAGATCGTGGTTAAACTGTCGCCACATCATAATTTATAAGATTTGACTTTTTTAGATTCTTAGTCATATTTTTAGAAACAACAACAATCCGAGATTGATGAAACTTGGATCAAAAATAGAAAAAATTATTTGAGCGGAAGTTATGGAAGTGCGACGATTTCGTCGCGATCTTTCCGTTCACGTAATTCAATAAAAATAAAAAAAGTTTCGAGTTATCGATGGTTTTTCGAAATCTTGCAGATTTTCTTTTTAAATATCAAAACTTGAACTCGCGAAAATCAACTTGAACAAGATTATGGAGCCCCGACGGTTTCGCAAAGATTAATACTGCGCAGGCCGTCTTTTCCACCCGAAGTAGGGGCTCAGTTATAGATCCAGTAAAAGCAAAGCCTAATCAGTACGTCCAAGCTACTCATGATACTACTCATTTGTCATTTCTATGAGCTCTTATACTATTCTGAAGTAGACGGTTTGGTCCACTTGAGGAAACCTCTTAGGATAGTCAAATTTGAAAATTGTGTCAGTTATAGTAATCAGTGATAAACAACATAGTTTGATTCTGTCATTTCAGTACCTCCCAAATGTGAATGTCACTACTTTCAATTAGCTTTACACAGCGACATCCCTCTTGTGATAATTTCATAGCCTAATCACTTCTCTTAACAACTTGAATTTCTCGAAATAAAATAAAAGTTCTGCTTGCTTCAATAAGAGTGAAAAAACGGAATAAAAGAGTATAAAAATAAAAGAGCCTGTATTTTTTGCGTACTCCGTATAAATTTGATTTTCCCAACACCAACTAGCGATGTTTATTGAAATCATCGACAGGCAAGTTCATTTTCAGATTGTGGCCAAAATGAGGAATTCAGATCATGCGCCACATGCGAGCCGACCTGTGGCCTAGCAGTGGTAGGGCTTTGTCTATTTGGGAAAAACCTGGGAATAATGTCCTATGCTTTAGCCTTGCGTTCCCATTTGCCTAACACCAGCATGTCAGTGTATCACTGGTTACGTACGTGATCAAGGAAAGTGTATCGAAGGCAGCACTTGCCCACGCGTGAAGACATAAGACTATGGATTGAAGTCATAACAATGTGAAGTATCTTTCATCATAATATCTTCATTTTCACATATTCAGTTAGATGGAAGCTTTGTGAATATTTTAAAAACCAATTTCTCATCTGTTTTCTTTCTTTCAATAATATAGAAAAATCGTAGTTTTGAAAATATTCAAAGTAACTTCGACCAGCAAATGCTATAAGGATTCTCTCCTGCGTATTAAGAAAATATACATGTTTGTTCTATTAACTTAGTAAACCCTTCTTAACGGTAAGAAACTTATTCTCCTGGACACTCACAACAAAGGATATACCTACAAAATAAACTACAAAATAGTTGAGGTTCTTTATATGCGCTGTTTCACAGTAGCAAAAGTAGTAATTAACTCGTCAGCAATACTACGGATCAGGCATTTGCGAAGAAAGATGCGTATCGTTTCTCCATATTGATTTTGCTGCAACTACTCTATTTGCTACATGCATCTTTTCTCTCGTAAAACATGGCAAAGTAGCGTACAATGCAGCAAATGTGTGCGCTGTTGGACTTCAGCAAAAATAGAGAGAACAACTTCATCAGTGCCTCGATGAAGCTGTTCTCTCTGTTCCGACGTCAGCAATCCTTGAGATTCACTTACTCCCTTCCGTTTCCAAGGTCGGATATAGCCAAAACCATCTTCATCTGCAAAGAACCGTGCTCTCCTGTTGCACCTATGCTTCCGGCGGGTGACGACATTACTGCTCGGACTCGTCGGCCCCTGGCACGAGCTGGCACGCAGTTAGCTAAGGCGTCGTAAGTGATGGGACAATGAAAGAGCTGGCACGAATCTGGCACGGTGTGGCATATGGCTGGTACGCCCAAACTTAATTGGGAGCTGGGAATATAGAGTGCGACCTGCAGCGGATATTGGCGCTCCTTCTCACAGCACGATGCGCAAAGATAAGCATAATTTTGTAACAGACATAGTGCGCTCCCCTATCAACACTGATGCAAACATAAGATAATGAATTCAAAAAAGGAGAAATAGGCGCGCTCACGCGGGGACAGTCAGTATTGGATCTCCTCTGATTGATTTGCCTGCTCTGGCAAGAATAGTATTACTGCATTCTTGCCTTGTTAAGCAAATACCCTAAAGCATATCTGTACTTATAGTGCAGCGCGTGTGAGCGCTGTTTTAGCGGTCATCAGCGGTGCGAACGCGCGGAGATACTCGTTTTGCGGAGCCCTGCAGATAGCTCGCTACAGACTTACGAGACACTTTGAGCTAAGTCCCTCTACGTTGTGACAACCGGGGTTTACTACGGGCCGAGGTGCAAAAGTTGTATTTAGTGACTTTTCAGTTGTCCATCTGTTCTGCAAACGTCTGCTTATCCTTAATGGTCTTCGTCGGTTACGTTTTACTTCTCGGGCAATCCACTCTGCTATCCTTAATGCCCATCTGTAGTTTGTTCTTCTCATGGTGTGACCAGCCCATCAATTCTCCGCAGCGTATTCCGTTGGAGTACAAAGGCGCATTCTTTTTCGTACTAGCAAAGTCCGACAATACTTCCTTGCCTTGCCTAATCTTCAGAACTGCGCTCAAGCGCTGTTGATGGTGCATAAAACTTCCGATTGGCTGGCTGTTGGTTATTAAGAAGCTTTTGCGAGCGTAGTGCGACACAACCCTCTCGCAAGTACTGCGTGTTTGATCGCTTTCAATGGATTCAGAGCAAAGAGCGTAAAAGAAGAATGTCGAGATTTGGTTTCCCGCTTCTGAGACCACAGTTTTCATAAATGATGCTCCTACGGAAATGAAAGATATACAGATTAGAAGAAAAATATTGAATAGTAGTAAGAGTGCTCTATGAAAACGGTTTCCCCTCAAAACCAATACTTCGAACAGGGTGTGAAATCTGTCACATCCTCAATTTCCAGTGCAGACAGATGGAGTACGTGAGCTGGAAAATTGTATTTGTGATTGTCCTGCCCTTTTCTTAGCGCGTACTTCATAGGGACACTAGTCCATGGCTCATCGTTGGGCTGAACACATATCGAAAGATAAGTCTCACTCCTGACCAAACTTTGCACACATGAAGTTTAATGTTATCCCCCCCCCCTGTACGAACGATTGCTGGCTACAAGCTCAGAGCTATCAAATCAACCAAAGTGTTCACAATAACTCATGCTTCCAGAAGAAATTTTGTTCAGAGCACGGTGCTACATGACACACAATCGTTCTTCTCCGCCGCTCTTACGCTCATGCTCATCATTTGAGTTCCGAAATACAGCTTTATTAGTCTCATACTGCATGCTAAAGAGCTCATAATTTGACAAATGCACCTAGATTTGTAAGGAAAAAAAAGTAAAAGTACGCCAAGTACATTAACAATAAATAATGCAGAGAAGCGACATGACTTTTCGCCTAAGGGCATGTGGGAATTTTACGAATATATGCAAAGGATTCTTACATGCGCTAGATTGACCAGAAATGTGTAGTAAAACTCTAAGTTTGAAAGTCTATGGAGTATGACCAGAAATGTGCATAGTAAAACTCTAAGTTTGAAAGTCTGTAGAGTACTTATCAATGTTATTGTAACACTGAGACTTCCAAAAAAGCGCTGCTGTACTGCTTTTCGTTAGCAAGGAAACGTACTTTTCAGCAGTCACTATAACTTTATTTATCATTTTTGAGAATTGCAATGGAAGAAGACGGTAGCGACGGAAAATCCGCTCTATACGAAAAAAACTCAAGAAGAGAGATTGAAGAAAGTAGAGGAAAGAATTATACAGGGTATTTCAGTCAGTGTCACGGCAGGCACGGCTCGGGTACTAGCAGCCAACTCGCTTGAGTCTCTCGCCACTCGCCCTCAGTGGATACGTAATTTTTTCAAAATGGAGAAACATTGTATCCTTAGACATCAATGGCTGACGAAATTGGAAAAGTGCCTCGAGAAAAGTTCGCGAACTCGCCGAGTGGCCTGAGTACTCGCGAGGACCCAAGCCGCGACCTGTGACACTCAGATTGAAATCCCTTGTTTCATTTTTTTGATGAAATCAAAAACAATGCAATCGCGTAGGCGAATTCCAGAAATGAGCTGGACTGTACAAATAGTCGCTTTGCTCTCCGGCGAAAGAATGACAATTTCACTCACCGAATAAGAAAGGAAAAGGCTTGCATAAAAGACTTAACATCATAGTAAGCAGAATCTCATGTCTCTGTAGTAAGTAAACTGAAACATGGGTGTTATATTTTTGATAAGTTGGGGCCTTTTTGCATTCTCTGAAAAGTTTTTACAGTGCTGCAGGCATATTGTGCGAAGACGTATCAAGAAAGTTTTGAAACGATTTATATATTAGTAAACCGTAACCGTATGTATTGAACCGCATTCTATACAACCGGCTGGGGCGGGCCAAAATCGAAACTTACGACGCCCCAGTTCAGCATCCACCAAGCTATCAATTTGAGATAGAAGGCATTTAGCTCTAGCACAGAAACAGATTACTCATTGTGTGCAAGATTGTTGAAATGGATAAATGATTGCGCTTCAATTAGCGCGGTTACGCGAGACCTGCAAGTGACACCATGTTTGCAACATGCCGTGCACGTGATAGCGGCAGCTATCAAAAGGTTGTAACCGATATCAAGAAATTCGCCTGAAAATGGGCAGATGAAACAAAACGACGATAATTTAACCGAAATTCTTTAAAGATTCAAAACTTTTGGAGCATAAATAAAATGAGGTAAGTAGATAAATCCTCACTCTATGCAGCGTTTTTGAAAGATTGAAGCAAGCCTTGTAAAGCAGGAAAGAAACTTGTTTTCCTGGTTCCCTAGCTGCGACTTTTCAGCAACCCTCCCCTATCTTTGCGCGTTTTGCATCGCAAAAGAACGTCAGCATAGGCGTTTCGGAGGTTACCCACCAGTCTGCTGGGTTTTTATCTACTCCACTTTTGCACACCGGTCAATTCAACTTACGACTTATTATCGGCCCATAGATTGGCACTAGGGGGTCGCGATGGTCAACCCATAATCATTCTATCGACTGTGCCTCTCACCGCTGACGCGCTCGCCCTACTCCGCTTTCACGGAAATTTGAGAGATAACAATGCTTTCACTTTGATGGCAGACTTTGAAACGACCCTTCCACTTGACCGGACAATTTTCTAGTCCATTCAACTTGCCGTTCTCAAGCATGGGAAGATGGGCGGTTGTAAGTTCAACTTACGGAGTTTTTCTGAGAGTCACCTTAGTTCCACTAAACTGAGTAGAAGTTTACTACAGGCCTATATCGTAAAGAATGATATGATTCGCAATTTTGAGTAAAAAATATAAGTAAGGGAGAGGGCGGCACTATTTCACCTACTAATTAAACAAAAAGCCATTGAACTATTTATGTTAAACTATCCATATGGAATAACTGGAATAGTGATACTTGTTGTAAGCACAGCTTTCTGTGCCAGAAAGCGCAGCCTCTATCACGAAAGCGCGCAGGTGTAACAACATAATCATCGGTAATTTGTTTGCCTTCTGTCTGATCTACATCATTTGTTGTAGAACGTGCCTGATATAAAGCCAGGTTTATGAACCAGGTACCAACAGTAATTTAGCTTCTTTGATAAAATTGGATCTACTCCAAAATTTTCACGTAATTTCTTTTACTTGTGTACTTACTACTTGCAAAGGAAGAATACTTGGTGACGGCGGCTATTCGTAATGGACACATATAACTATATGCGTTTTGGAACGCTAGTTACGAATGTGCACTCGTTTTCTGCTAATCGATTGTCTGAAACAAGTTATGAGCTTTTTTGCACATAATCTTTGCGGACTAAAGCACAGTCAAACCACCGATATCTGTATTCAATTAGAATAATTGCACTCTCCTTCACACTGTTCCGAGGAGCGAAACAAAAAATTTGAGTGGTGTTCACAGTTAATCAAGACAATGGAAATTCTTTGGAAAAAACGTTCGTAATTTATTTCGGACAATCGATTGGCGGATATCGAGAACAGATTTGAGATTAGCGCTTCGA